ATTATGCCTCTTTTTAATTGTAAACATATACATTTTGATCCTTTTCCGTATTGCAGCCTATTTAGTTACATTTTGGTTATTTTTTATATACATATTTTCAATTCAAAAATTGTTACATTTTATTTATTTTACATATTTATATCCAAAGTAAAAAATCTGTTGATTTTTATTATTTTCTTTGTTTATACCTATTTTCAATTGGAAAATAATCAAAATGTAAATATTTTCCAAATGCAAATATGTATATTTGGCATAAATATGTAAATAACCAAAATGTACATATATTACACACCATACATTTTAAGATTTTGTTGTATTCAGTAACCTTTTGGGAAGTTTGAACCTAACCTTTCATTCAATTCATTGTTACTAGATTCTTTACAAAGGATATGGCTTAAAATTCTTAGAATTCTTAAAACAGTGGAAGAATTCTTAAAACACCTGAAGAAGTTCAGAGGGTAGAAATGAATGAAACATGACTATAACAACCAAAATGAAAATTTTACTGACCAAAAGTTTGAATAGATTATGGAATTTCAAAGGTTGAAGGGTTGGTATTGGTGTATTTAGGTTGGTGTGTCTTCACATGTAAACAATTATGAAGAAACATCTTGATACACCAGTCATCATAATTTAAAATTAAAAGCTGAGTGTTTATATCTTTAATATTTTGATGTAAACTGTAAATGTTGTGTTGTATTTTCTTATATAAAATTCCATCAAGAAAACCATTTGAAGAAGTTCTTTCATAGAACAAAACATTATTTTGACGTTTTTCCATTTTGTCATTCATTTACCCTATATTTTGGTGTATAATAAAATTTGATTTTAATATATTTTCCATCTTTAATGTTTTTTGTTGAAGAATTTTTAATTTTATTATATGAAAATACACAACAAAAAAAAAAATTTTTTTTTTATGAGTTAAAAATGAGCCTATTTTATTTTTAAAACGGAAACAAAAAATGGGTTTCAACTAATTGATTCAATGTTAAAGACTTATGTTCTTTAAATGCATTGTGATTATGACTAATGACTATATAACTATTGTGACTATGAATTTGTAAAGGAGTTCCTTAAAATGATCTATAAATTTCTTCATATTTCATTCTCATAATCAATCCTTTGGCAGGATTCCAGCTAGTTTTTATAGCTTAAACAAAATTGATTTGTTTTTGATCAAAAATAAATGAAGTCTCAACAGCTTACATAAAGTTACATTAAAAAAATTTGGTTTTTAAAAACTTAGGGAAAAATAGTTGAAATCAAGTGCTTTTTGCTGGATTTCAGCTAATTTCAATAGCTTAAACAACATATTAAAAAGTAATTTGGTGTTTATAAGCTTTGGAAAACACCTAAAATTATTGAAAATTGATTTTTTTTTTCCAATCGCAATCAATTTGTTTGAAATCCACCAAAAGGCGCCTTGGCTGGATTTCAGCTTATTTAAACATTTCTATATAAAAAGAATCATTATAAAAAGTAAATTCAGTACATTTTCTTTTTCTGATGTAAAAAGAATAATAAACTACTGTAAATTTAAGATTATTTTGGCATTTCTATATAAAAAGAATCAACATCTAAAGTAAATTCAGCTCATTTTCTCATTCCTATGAAAAAAAGAATCAAAACTGCTGTAAATTAATGCTTAACATTTCTATATAAAAAAATGAAATGAATCAAATGAATGGTTACTTGGCAGAAGGAGTTCCTTTCTAGTCCTACCAGATGCACAGCATGACTTTCTTAGGTCTAAAGTTGGCTCATGTTGCTTACCCCAGGATTTTTTTCACTGAACATTTTTGTAGATGATGCATTTCACATGTGATCCTAAAGATTCTTTTCACTGCGATCATATGGTACTCAAACATAATAGCAATTTAAGTACCCAAGTTTCACTAAGTTTTTATGCATGGTAGATTTCGATAAATTGTGTAATGTGGGTTATTCTCAATCAATGTCTTGATTTGATTGTCATCTGTAGTGGGGAGGGGGTCTGCCTGAGTGTTCTTCATCAATAAGGTTACAATCACAACTGCCTATGCTAAATCACCTTCACCATACACAGTACATATCTTTTTTGTTGTTTCTGAGGCATTTTTGCCTTTACAGTGAAAAGTGTCAAGTGTCTAAAATGTGTCTCATAATCTTTCATTTTCAAAATTGACATAAATTAAATAATTATAAACTTTCTCAAGAGATAGTTTGAAGTGTAAGCATATAATCTCTGTCAATAAATTTGATGTGTTCTAATGTGCTGTAACATAAGCAACTAAAAATCAGCATGAACATTATGGACAACACAATATATAAAATGAATCAACATCTAAAGTAAATTCTGGTCATTTACTTATTCATATATAAAACGTATCAAAATCTAAATTAAAACCTTATTTTGACATTTCTTTATAAAAAGAATCAACATCTAAAGTAAATATCATTATCCTATATAAAAAGAATCAAAAACTGATGTAAAGTTTGGTTTATTTTGAGATTTCTATAAAAAAAGAATTAATATCTATATTAAATTCAGCTCATTTTCTTATTCATGTATAAAAAGAAACAAAAACTAATGAAAATTACAGCCTATTTTGACAGTTTTATATAAAAAGAATCAACATATAAAGTAAATTCTGATCATTTTCTTATTCCTATATAAATGCAAATAGGCATAATGGACATAAATATGTAGAATAATCAAAATATACATGATTTTTTATTGAAAATAAGCTTAAATAAGTAAAATAAAATCTACATATATTCAATTGCATAATCAACATAATTAAGTAAAATAACAACATGTACATATTTTGAATTTAAAAATAGGTATAATGAACATAAATATATAGAAAACAAAAATGCACAAAATTTTTCAATTGAAAATAAGTGTAAATAATTAAAACAACCAAAATATCTCATATTGGAAATGATTATCAATAAGTAAAATAACAAAAATGTACATATTTTTCAATTAAAAATAGTCATAAATAAAATAACCAATTGAAATTAGGCATCAATATATGAAAGAACCAAAATGTACATATCAGTTATTTTACATATTTATGCCTATTTTCAATTGAAAAAAATGTGTCACATTATGTGACACTGGCAAACAGAAAGAAAAGGGTTAAAATTAAACTATAATTTGGAACAAGACAAATAGGGTTCTTAATGAAATGATAAACAAACTGAGAGAAAGAAGCAAAATTGCTTTTAATTTTAAAAGTCTATTTTTTAAGCAGAGATGTCTTGAAAAAAGTGACTTTGTTGTTTTGGATATATTACCACAGAGGCCATCTGGAAAAAAACTGGGCTAATGATTGATGGCACTGCCTTAAAGTGGACGTTACAAAAACATCTCCTAGGGACTAGCCAGAAAAGAAACCTAATTAAAAAGATATTTGTAAATTTTAAAGACAAAGAAGTGAAATAAATGATTTATTCCACCTATCAAAAATTTAAGAAATAGAATTTCTTAATATAAAAACCCAGCCCAAGGTTAAAGCGTGATTGAGCTATGGGGATAGCTGCCGGCAGAAACAGCTGGTAAATTTCTGATTTTATGAACTGGGAAAAATTTGCTGATGTAACATTCAAATGATAATTTTAATTAATGATCAGAGGCTAAGCTCAACCCTTTTGCCTACAAGGTTTAAAAATCAGATTTGTCAAAATGATAACCAACGAGAAAGGCATAGATACACAGAAGGATGGAGGAATTGCCTATGCCCATTGAGAAGTGATAGTGTGAGGCACAAATAAGATAAAGAAGGAGTTATTTAAGCAGGTTAGTACCTGTGATCACTGCCCATAGGAAAAAGAATCTCCCAAACTTGGAGAGATAATTAATTTTCCAAAGCAAAGAACACTAGTTGGAAGACAACAAGTTAATAAAGAAACAACTCCAAACACATCATCCCCGTGCTAGCCTTGAGTCAAAATAAGCAGAACACTGAAACAACCAGACACAGTTTTAGAGTTGCCAGCCACAGACAAGATCAGACAGCAGGATGAGCTGCTGAATCCAACATGACTTGCTGCCAAAGAGAACTCCCTACTTATGGCATGTTCCAGACTTGGCTAAATTGAGTAAAGTGTCACAATAGAATTCAAAGTGGGAAGGGTACTGTACAAATAATGATATAAACCACATAGAAAATATACCCTGAAGAATTTCCAGGCTTTTTTTTATTTCATCTGCAAAGTACATTATTTATTTTTCCTGTATAACTTTAGCATGATTTGAACCAGGGACAACTCCATCTTTGCCAGTTCCATGATCAAAAAGCACAACATGGGGAAGAGTAGAATGACCAACTTCAACAACCAGCAGCAGCAGATGTGGCACAAAACCAAAAATATGGAGCATCAAGTGAAGATCAAACTCACTAGTCAGTCATAATTGATCTAGTGAGACAAGGAAATACAAATTTGGATGTGTTTCTAAGCTCTAAACAGCTGATGAAATTTACTCTCAAACAATTCAATAGATGTATATTTTAAAAACACAAAAACTAACAGGTTGTGCATGTATTAGAACAAAGTGTGATTGCACAAAAATGAAACTATCACAGAAAAACATGTAAGTTAAAAGCTCTTCATGCAAAAATTATTAAATGGAACATCAATGGAATATTATTTGATAGTACAAGATAAGAATCAGGAACTTGGAGTTAAGTGTTTTAATTTCTTTATTAATTGATCATAACAAAAATATTTTTGTATTAAAACATCATAAGTATTTTCAAGAAATATTTAAACAAAAATATTGGAACAAAAGCTAATAACCTCTGTTGTGAAGCACTGCATAGTCAGAAAGAATCATAAGGAATAAAATCTCCAAATCATCACTTACAGATATTTATTCACATTCAAGGTTGAGCAAAGTTATACAATTTTAATTGTATCACATTTGGTTTTCTTCTGATTGATTTTTGATTGACCAAATCTGAAAGTTTATTTTTATACTCCTCACTAAAAGTTTTGGTTTGTTGTAAAAGTTACCATCGAAAATGAGCAAAGGCTTTATTTGCTTCACATTGTTTGTGCAAATCTTGCTTCTTGTGAATACTGCGACCCTATAAAAATAAAATATAATAAAATATAATTACCAAAAAAAAAAAAATCACTAAACAAGTAAAAGATGAAATATTTGGTCTTCTAACAATTTGAAGTTCCCTGCATATTTTGTTGTTTTGCTCAGTAAAATTAAATTATATTGTTTACATTTAAAATAATCTATAATGTCCTAAGTAGAAATTCTTCAATAAGTTATTTAGATTTAACACTAATCGAAAAATAAGTTATTCACCTTGGAATGTCATTTAGAGAACAAAAAGTTTGTTCTGTTTTAGAGTTTAGTTGCAGGGCTGGTGCTAGGGTCTCACACCACACCACCCCAATCATTGATACTCCCCTCCCCTCTCTACTACATTCCAATTTCCAAATTACCCAACCTGGGAGCCACAAACCCTTGTAGGAAAATGGAGAGGGGACAGCATTTTTTTTTTTTTTTAAATAGTCAAAAATCAGAGAATTATCCAATTTAAATAAAAATTTCAGTATATATTCATTAATTATATACTTTTAAAATAAATAGTTTTTTTTTAATTTAAAAAAAAATCAGAGAAAATATTCTTTTTGTAATAACCACCAATATTTTCATGACTAAATTTTACTAAGAAAAAGTCACAAATTTTTACATTTTACACCGACGCATTGAAAAAAATATTTTACTAACACAGCACAAAAATTTGTTTTAAAAAAAATATTTCAGTTTTGGGGAAAGTTTTTCATTTGTTCAAATTAAACATTTTTATTTTTTAAGCAATCATTTTCTCAGTTTTATCTTTCTAGAAATGTAAAAAATAGGGACCAGAAATTTTATTTTAATTACTAGCTGTGGACTTCCATTTAGTATTGCTATTAGCAAAAAAAAAAAAAAAAGTCAGATGGTGGATGATCTTAGAATAAAAAATGATTTTACCAAGATAATTGATTTAAAAGAACTATTCAAAAAAAAAAATTACAATTTAAAAAAATAAATGCTACTGAAATTAGCACTTCAGCACCCCCTCCACAGTAGACATCGGGCCCCACCCATGGTTGAGAGGTTCAGGGTAGTAAGCACCAGCCCTGTCAACAGACAATATTACTTAGGTAGAAAAAAACTAAAAAGTACTAAAAGCAAAAAAACGCTGCTGAAACTAGAGCCTTTTGGAGCTCCAACCTCATCAGGGGTACCTGCATAGTATGCACCACACTGGCCATACAGATATATGGTGTATATTATTATTTGACAACTGACAATGTAAGATCAGTTTAAAAATAATTTTAAAAAATGGTGGATGACCATAAAACAGTCCTGATTAAAAAAAATGGCAGAGGCCACAACGAGGCCCCCAAAAACATCGGCCCTCTTTCAGGGATAAGACACTGCTTAGATGACATTAAGAGCATTGGACGTTATTAAAAAAAAGATTGATCAGCATGTGTATTTTTATTTATTAAATTTAACAGTGGAAACAAAGTAACATATTATGTTTTAAGAAAATTAAAAAAGTGGCTCATCATACAAAATAATTTTTTGTAATTTTTTAACAAAGAATGATCAAATATGCTAATGACATACACAAACTTCATGTTAAGTTATATAGGTGAAACAGAGAGGACAGTTCTAAGAACTCACAAGGAGAAACACATGATATGTATGTGAAGAAATGCATGCATGCCCACTCAGATCAAGATTAAATATTCAAAAACAAGACATATCTGAAGAGGTCCTTCAGAGCACAGCATTTGAAAATTGTAAAAACCAAAAAAGCTCAGAAAACAATTAAAATAATTTAATATACAATGGTTTATCATTATATTTGCAGGAAAACATTTTACATAGATGTAGATTTACAAATTCAAAGTAAAAATGATAAAATGGACAAAAAATATCTTACTTCATTTTTATAGGCAGCCAAAATTTCTGTAGCCAATTTTTCAGAAACTGGAATTCTACGTTCTTTATCTCGACAACTGCTGATAATCCATTTCATAGCTAAAAATGTTTGTTTCGATTCAGTACAAGCAATAGGTACCTTAAAAAAAAGGTTTATCATTACAATAGAATTGCTTTAGCGTTCCTCTTTTTCACATTTTTACATATTTAATGTTCTATAGACAAGGAAACAAAGGCCACTTGTTGATATGTTTTTGTAGCTGTTTAGCAAAGTTGGTTTATATTTGTGTCAACTCGGTGTCATATCAACTTTGGAGTTGATATGACACGGAGGTATCCCAAACTAAAATTTTCAATATATCTCAAAACCTTTAATATTAATATAGAGAACTTGTCAAAACATAAAACATAGTACAAAATTTATCTTGGTATCTTAATTAGCAATTAAGTTATGACCATTCAAAATTTGTCAGTTTTCTATCATTTTGGACAGGAAGCCAATTTCAACAGTGTATAACTGAATATGCAGGCTTCAAACAAGTTAAAAATCATTAGAAATGTAAGGTCATAATATGTAATATGTAATAGGTCGTCATGAAGAAAAATAAATACTAATGAAATAATTATTAAATCAGGAAAAAATTGCATTTTCAAAAACAAAATAGTTAAAACATGACACAGAAACAAGTTTTATTTCAAGAATTAATGCCTTGCAACTTCTTGCTAGGATTCATAGCACAACATAAATTAAGATAAATTCCTTTTTAGTAGTACATCAAGAAAAAAAAATCATATTTAAATCACAAATTTGGCAGTATGACAAAAACAGATAAAAAGTATACAATCCTGAACTTGCGATAAAAATATCCATTGCAGATACATAACTGAAACTTTACTAATTTTGGAATGAAGAATTCAATAATACAGTTCTTTCTTTGTAATAAGAATACCTTTTCTGATACATGTATAACATTTTGTGAAATTATGCAATTTTTACTTGTCAAAAATGTACAGTAATTACAGAACTTAGAACTTTGTTTCATGAAATGAATTAATGGTCAATCCTTCAAACAAATGCTTATTTTTAAGCTTTAAATTCACTGAAATGAATAAAAATATATTTATTGGAAAAAAAACTTTCTGGGTAGTTGGAATGCATTTCCTTTTCTAATGGTGATGAATTTGTTTATAAGCCAATATTCTTGGAACAACTAATATCCTATGATCTCTTAAAAGTGGTATTATATCAAAGTCTCATCTAAAAACAAATGTTGATGCCACTATCATCCCACAAAGGATACCAAAAATAATCATTTCTGCCTTTGGTTGGAACTAAAATTTTGATTACAGCCCTAGACAGAGATGTAATATTAATGACTAATTCAATGTAAAAGTTGAAGCAATAGTATGCGGCAAGTCATTGACCTTGGTCCTTGTAAATGAAGGTCATTTGAAGTGTTTCTTCTACATAACAAATGCTAGTGTAGTTGTTTGAATACTTATTATTTTTTATTTTGTCCCTAAAAACGTGGAGATGAAGAGCTATTGAAATTAAATGTAAGGAATTTGGGGTCTTCTTCAGCTTGCTTCTTGCACTTAGAAGAAATGCTGAGTTCATCATCAACTAGATAGAAGATTAAATGTAAATTTTATTAATCACCTGGATAGGGTTCTCTGGTGTGGAAAGTACTAATAAATAAAATGAAAAAATAGGAACAGATACTCACTTAAAAAAAGTTATGCTTATTATCTTCCAGAGAGGGAAATTTTAAAGTGAACTTATTTCTTTAAGATGGGAGACAACTCAGAGTGTAACAAGTTTAAAAATTACAATTAATAAATTGTCAACTTCAAAAACTCGCGAAAAAGCACCAGCATATAATGACGGAATTTAAATAGACGTGAAATAAAAACTAATCATCACAGATGAGAAAGAATTGTAATTTTAGACAGAGAAAAGATTAAATTTTGTTTATAAAAATAGCCTCGAAAAATTTATCATATCAGCATTTGAAATAGAAGGAATTTCACTGTTTTGACATGTTTTCAGGCTCTAAATCAGTGCAGTTTTGCATACTTTCTAAAATATTATTATGGAATATCTTTATATCTAATTTCTTAATTTATTGATTTTATGCCAGCAGTTGCAATAAAAAAAATTTTCTGAATCTAGAAACTAATCTATTTGTTCATTGCAAAAGTAGAATTAAAGCAGAAATACTTACATTGTATCGCACACCACCTTTGTAAACTTTTGGTCAAAGTCAAAACTGGTTTACAGTTTTCAAGAGCTTCATGAAAAATTGTTACAGGATTTAATACAATTCCAGCTTTCTATATCGGAGGCTGAATGGTATTTTAAAATCTGAACAGTCTTAATGTTTGCTAACATCTGAAACAAAGACAAAAAAATTACTTAAATGATGTGAACTTTCCTAATTAGCATATATGCAAAAAATGCATTAATAGAAGATGAAAAAATAAATAAAGGATAGAAGATAAAAATGAATATAGATATAAATGAAAATATAAGCTATAAAATTCCTTCTAGTTCCTAATGAAAAAAATACAGCCCTGACAAACCTGCTGAAATTTCATACTAAAATATCTGAAAACATAAGCTGTTTTAAACAAAATTCATTATAATCAAAAGTTTTATAATTGGTCAATTGTAAAATCATAAAAATTTAGCAAATATTTTGAAAATATTTACTAAATTAGTATTTGTTTACTTCTTTTTTAAAAAGTACAAGATTTCTAGAATTAATCAATTAAAGCAATAACACAACCAATTACTCAGCCACAAAACGTTTTTGCTCTTCTCACCAAATTCTAAATTGCACCTCCAAAATATTCAAATTGCCCCTGATGTGCTCTTGATAGTTTTATAAAAGTAATGTTTCCCACCCTATAAATATTACCTTATCAACAATTGAGACAGCTACTTGCTTTTTTCCATCCTTCATAATCATGTTTGTAAATTTTCTGGAATAAATGAATAAATCATAAATTAATTAAAAGTTAAATACAGATATATTTTGCTTCATCAATAAATTCTTTATCAAAAACTATAATCATGCAAGAATTTTTTATACATTTATATATAGTTCAAGTTACTGTTAGCATTCAAATCTACATCTTTTCAAATGACAAATTGTCATTATCCTGGCTCTATGAATGCCTAGCTATACACCTTTTCAAAATCCATAATCACGATATCTGCTATTATAATATGATAATTTGTACTGATAAGCTTCATGAACAAATGCCATAGATAGAAATATGATTTTCAAATATATCAATATATATTTTCTTACACTGACAGAACAATTATTGAATGATAATGTGAATCAATGTAGATATCAGCACTGTTCAAATAGGAACAGTTCATATATGTTCACTTGTCTTTTCTTCAGCTATTAGTTGCTTCTACCATAAATGGAGAATATTACTTCTACATGTTAAATGTAATTATAGTATGTTTTTAAAATACAGCTGAAAATTTTATTCACTGACAACACATTTAGGAGCAAAGTAAGCAGAGGGATGAAAAATATTAAAACCATCCAGCACTGTTGAACAAAAAAAGAACTATCTTTTTTTACATTTAACATAGAATTATAGTATTTTATCTATAACAAACAAAAGAAAAACTTACATAGATCTGAGATTATAAATAGCCTCTAGGTTGTACTTTAGTATGGCAACTGTATTCTTAGAAATTAATGTTTATGGTTGGATGAAGATTACACTCACACAATTGTAGGATTATAGAATATAGATGTGGTCTGATTATTTTGAGCAGCCTTAATTGGTTGATATTTTCTTGCATCTATTTCATCCAGTTCTTGGGCTAATTCTTCTTTGGAAAGAGTTGGATTTAAATATCTAGGACTCCACATTGATCCTCTGTTCAGCACCACAATGTGACTGTGAAAAGAGAAAAGATAAATAACTGAAATAAACCAAACTCTTTTTTTCAAAACATAGGAATAATTTTTTTTTTAATCATTTCACCCCAAGCTAGGCAAGAATGAAACTAGTACATAGGGGGTTACAGAGAGTGAAAGTGAAAGATAGGAGGGATTGAGGAAAGGATAAAATATGAACAGGGTTCACGACAATAGAAGATGACGATATTGCATTTAAATTTTTGAAGATTGTAGTTTTCAGGGAAGCAAGTAAATGGAAGTGAGTTCCACTATCAGGAAGTACAAGAAAAGAAACTGTTGGAGTAGAAGTAGCAGTTACTTTTAACTATTTCAACAGTAAAAGGGTGGGACCTAGATGCCAATCTAGTAGCACATTTAAATTCATGTAGCTGGGGCACCAGGAAAAAAAGCTCATCACAGCAGTTGCCATGAAAATAGTTATAGAAAAGATAAAGGGTAACCACATCACTTTTGATTATTTTTATACCAATTTCAACGCTTAGGAGATATTTCATTTTTAATCATCTTCAGTTTATTTTCTCTTGTATCACATGTTCGTTTTTTTCCTTTAAACCAGAATATATGACCTAGTGGATTAAAGTATTGGTGAAAGAATATCTAGTTTCAGTCTTGAGATAGAATAATGTAAAAAAGTCACATAACTCTGGAAGAAACATACAAGCAACACAAAGAGTTGAGAAAGAAAATATATGAAATTCTGCACATGGCCATTTTTTTTATTTATATTATTTTTAACAAAACCCTCCCCTGTGCCATTTCTTTGATCTTTTACACTTTCTTTTATGATTTTCTTCTATGTTTGTCAAAAGTGTGTACAAGTAAAGCAAGTGCAGAATTTAATGCTCCATGCAAGACTGTAGTCAGAATAAAAACAAATAAAAAATATATTAAAGTATAAAAATAGTCTTTAAGATATCAGAAAATGGCATGCATTATAGTTTTGTGTGTGTATTACACACACAAGTTGGTTACACTATCACTCGAGTCAGATTTTTTGTGAATGCTGACTAATTAAAAACTGTTTAAAGGAAAAATATTCACACAACAGGTGGGTCATATTATTCAAATTTCTTAAATGAAACATCGTCAATTTTTTCAATTATTGATAATTTTTTCATCTGAATTTCAGTAGAATATGTAAGAAGGCTCCATTCAATGCAACTGTTCAGTTACATTTCCCAAAGCTTTAGTTAATCTTAACTTATTTGGATGTTCAACTTACACATTGTAACATATTCAAAGCTAATATTTGTCTTACATTTAAATACTAAGTAGAAGGCTAAGTAGATGGCCATAGTGAATAAGTCCTACAGCAGCTAATTCAAACCATTTAGTGAGGATAAGTAAGTGCCATGATTGGTGATAATTATTAAACAAGTAGGGTTAGGTCATTTGATCAATAGTTTGAACAATATTAGAAGATAGTCTTAAGGAAGAAGAGAAATATAAATGACAATTATACCAAGAGTAGAATTATCATCCTCATTTATTAAGGATTATGATCTGATATTTGGGACAAGTTAAAAACAAAACAATAAAACGTCTCTTTAAAATAGATTAAAAGAGGTGATGAATGTAACCACCAAACTGTGACAAAGAAACACAGCTGAACAAAGTGGATATGGTTGAATATTAATACAAAAAGTGATTCAGGAAACATACAAGCCTTTTTATGAATTGTACTTGTTCCTCTGTTGACAATGATCAACAACTGGTTAGTGAAAAAGATTTTCTTTATATTATTCCATAAGTATAAGGAAATTGCATAATAGGAATGGAGTTAGCTTATAAGATGTTGAGCCAGTTGCAAATTGGGCTTCATTATCTGTTGATAGTCATGCAAAGCAGTGATTAAGTTAACTGATTATTAAAAAAATAGCATCATATGAAAATAATGAGACAAGAAATATGCTAATTAATTTCAATCAATCCAAAACATTTTAAAATTATTAACTTAATGGATTATCTGATCTGCCACCTTTTTTGCATTTGGCTTTATCTCATGTCTGCATACTTCAGAGCTTTAATGAAAGTGTATAAAATTGAAGACTTTCACATTTTCCAAATCTATCTACATTCACTCATGCACTATGTTCTCAACTTGGAATCCTTCCTTTGCAATATCAGAATCTAGTTCAAAGCATCACCCAGTTTGTAACTTCTAAAACAAGATCTTACAACATTTGCTAATGATTTCCAAATATGTGTACCAATGCCAAGAGAAAAGTGGTTGATAAAGAAAGTGGAACATACCAAAAAGGGAAAAAATTAACTTCAATGGTTCAGATATTATTACTTCACTACTAGTAGTAACTTATCAAGCAGATTATCTTGCTACCATTAGTTCTCCTCTGTTCAAGGCACTCAAAGAAGGCGTTATACTGGGTGTTATTAAATAGCACTGACAATTTTTGATAAAGCTTGAATGGATGGCTTGATGAAAGAGTACACAGACACTACTCAACTCATCATGGCCAGGATGACTAAAGAGATGTTCCGTGTAACATATGTGAACTAGGGTGAAATAAATAAGTTGTTAACAATGAAGTATTTTTACTTGCAGAAAAAAAATAATGGAAATAAATTTTATTCCATATTGGAGACTTGTTTTTTTTTTTTCTAATACAATTTATTTTCAAATGCAAAAGAGAATATGAGTCTTGGTAAAGAAATTAAACGGAAATGTAAGGGAAGAAATTCAGTGTTTAGTTAAGTAATTGTTTCGGACTTTCTGAACTTAAACAGTTGTAGCTTTGGGACAAATGCAATTTTATTAAAAATGATAATTACACCAAATTTGTTGCTGAAAAAGGACTATGTAAATTGTCATCCACATCAGAATTTGAATTGTTAAACTAAACATAAACAAACTGTTTCTTCATCCTAATTCCATAAACTTTTTTTTTTGTGTTTGAAATGATCATTCAATTAAAGCAAAAATGCATACCCGGTTCGGGTTGTATTCATAAATAGATAATAAAAGTAAAAATTGTAAAAAAATGTACGATGACAGAAAATTATGGGGACAAAAGCAAATGTAAATATATCTGGCTGTGTTTTTTTTGTTTTTTTTTTAATTTTTGGTTAAAAAACTAATAAAAAATTAAAATAATGCATCTTCCGGTAAAAATATTAACCAAAGCAATTCACACCTTCATAAAAAGTGCTATATCAGTGTTGTATTATGGAAATATAATTTTTTTTAAATAATACTTAGTAAATTAACTAATATTAAATAATTAAAAAAGCATAAAGAACAAAAGATTTATTTAAAACTAAAATCACATTTCTTGTGACAAAAATACATCACCGAGCGGGTAACTTGTAATGCAAATAAATAAAGTCAAAATAACATTATAATGGAAACATAAACTAAATACTCCAAGTAAAAATAGAATTTCAATTTTTAAAACAAAACTGTATTACCGAAAAAGAGAACAAGTCAAAGGTTTACCCGCAGTTAAAACAAAGCACAAGACCTTGACGTTCGCCATTTTGAATAGCAATCTAGTTTGTTTGGGCCAATGTCAGAAATTAAGGTTAAAGTTAGATAACTCTTATCGGAATTTCAAACTATCATGAATTATTTACAACACGATTAATGCAGACTCAATATTTGTGGCGTGATCATTAGGTAGCTTGTCTCGCATGATCAATTACCACTGAATAGTGACTTTGATCCTGATACGTTCGGCCTTGTGCGACATTAAAACAACACTTAGAAAATCAACAATAAAAAAATATATACATAGAAGGTGGTCCAAAAAAGTGTTGTCAACTTCTAAGACTGTAGTGTAGGTAGAGACATCTGAAATAGAAAATTATTTTATCTAGGGGTGACAAGAGTCTCGGACCGCCCTGCCTGTGTGTGTGTGTGTGTGTGTGTGTTAGTGTTATAAAATTCGGTAAAATTCCCGACAGAGTCATTATGCCTAATGCTAGCCTTATAGATGATGCCTTTATAATGGCGAAACAAAATTTTATTTCGGTTCAACAACAGCAAGTGGAAAATGAGATTTTCATTTTACCATCACAAAATGAACCTTTAAAAAGGACATTCTTGCGGAAAAAGATTATTGAAAATGTCACAGAACTCTCAAAATTCTGCTGGGATATTAAAACAGAGATTTATGTCGCCAAAATTACACTCTTTCCCGGTCACAGAAACCGATGTATTGTAACCTGTGTTTGCTGGAAAAAATTCATCTGTTGCGGAGGAGAAATAAGATTGAAAAGTGATCAGAAGGCTTTTTTAACATAAGGTATAAAACTTTACTCCTTCAGAAGTATTTAATTTTTGATGTATGGCACAAAGAAAGGCTAAAGGAAAGCTAACAAAGCAATCAAAAGATGACAACATACGTAAAACAATGACAAAATATTTAATACAATTATTAAGAATAAACTGCTCAGAATATTTAGCTTTCAAAGTTCAGTAATGTTTAACTGAACAAATAAAATAAAAATACTTAAAATGTTCATTCAAAAAAACGGTGTCTTTTGGTATAGAAATTTTACGATGCAAAAATAAGAGTTGCTTACTCTTAACTAGGAAATTAATTATTTAAAATTTGTTCTTTGAAAAAAAGAAATTTTTTTCAGGTCTCACAATAAAAAGAGTTTGTTTTGTTTGAAGAAATGTTCTTTGTGAATTAAATGTTTTGTGTAATATGAATATTGTGAGAATGTGTTTGGTAAAATAGAACTTTGAATATTTAGTTGATGCTTCAAGAAGTTTTTGTTTCATACTGTTGAATATTGATTACAACCAATTGTGGAATGTATTACTTCTTGAGTGTTGTGGTCACCAATGTTGAATGGGTTAAATAGATAATGTGGCTGCGTGTTGAGAAGGTAATAAACATTCATACATAATATTTAAAACATCAAGGAAAAGACAATGAGAACCAATTTTGTTTAACGAAGAAATATGTATATTAAATTCAACAATAATACAAAGTAGTTGTAGTATGAGTGAAAAAGGGGGAAAAAAGTAGCTTCCCCTTGACTGTAAGGAAATGTCTTAAAGAAAATTTGTCTGAGTAAAATGTTCAGAGTTCAGTGTTGAAAATAGAATATTTCTTTTAGAAAATTATTCAGTTGTTGCAACTTACAGAGTTGATTTAACTTGGTGTGTCCACTGAGAAATGGTAGTGTATCAAATAAAGTTCTGTACTGTGTATGTACGTGCGGAGTGAATAGGATGAAATACACGAGCGAGTAAATGAGACCTATTGTCTCTGGGTACACTCGACTGTGGTTTTGGAACTACTACTATATATTTATTGTATCAAAAAATACAATTGTGACACAAGGCCTGAAAAGGGGAGGGGTTGAGGCTGGTCTTCACTAACTATCTTATACCTAGCTAATTCGATTCACGACCCATTTATACATTACAATTTGCCCATTCACCACAAGAACTCATCCATCTCCAATCAATCCTCCTTACACCATAATACCACATCCTCACAAGGGGGGACCGACAAAACGCGCCCCATGCCATAAAAATTTAATGATAATAAAGAATACATAAAAATCTCATAATGAAGGATTAGAGGGGAGGGAGATGAACCCAATAATAAACTAAATTACATGATTCAAATTAAACATAACAGATGTTAGTAGGGCCCGTCCAACAAAGAGGCCGCTGTATTCTGCCTATTGGACAAAATCAAGAAGCTCTCTCGCTAAGGGAGTGTGAATAAGATAAAAAATTGTACGGGAATGGAAGAATATAACGCTGACCCAGACGAGATAAAATGGGGGGGGGGGCAAAAACAAACTGGGGAGGTTGGGAATCTCAAACTGGATCATAACCAAAGAAGTGGCCAGGAGCAGGCAGGGAACAACACTTATTCACATTAACTAGGTACACAAAAGATTGTCTAACCTAACCATGGAGAGGGCTCCTCCGGAAACTACCCCGATGCGACGTAGGCTTGACCTAAAAGAGAAAATCAAGGCTAGCCCTGTTCAAACGAACCAAGCTCGCCTCTGTCACCCACCTTTCGCTGAAGACTGTCGAATGCAATCGTTTTCTATCAGTTCTAATCTTCATCTTGAGCTGATTCTCAAAGAATCGGATCAGATCCTGATAAGAAAGACGGTTGCCTCGCAAGACTTCCTCCTGTCGTGTCGTCCAAATCACCATTCGAGCCGTGGCTAGCAGCGTCAGAAACACTATCCGTTTCACCCCGGCATACGGGGGCGACGCATTGTCACACGCGTATGCGCGATCAATGGGCACAAGCTTTTCGAGAGCGAGACGAGCCGTCAGCTCGCCGACATGGTCCCATAGGGGGCGGACCCGGGGACAATGGTAGAAGGCGTGCGAAGCCGTTTCTTCTAAACCAAGGTCACACCGTTCACAGTCTGGCAAATCCGCCAAATCCCATATGAAGACCTTGTCATTGAGAGGCAGCCGATTCCGAGCCAATCGCCAGGTAAGCGAAAACTCAGGGATACTGAGATAATCCGCCGCTGGCGCCCAAGAGCGAAACTCCTCTTCCGACAACCCGAGATCCTCACGTAGGGAATCCTTCGCGACCCCCTCCACTAGCAAACGACAGAAGACCTTCCTAGGCCGAGAAAGGTCACTGGACCAAGGGGCAGCCAACAAGGCCGACCGACACTCGCGAAAGAAAACCAATTGAACCCGGGGTTTACGACGGCGCTCAACCTGCGAGATGGGGAACTGATAGTAAGGCGAGGAAAAGCGGCCCTCACAATCCCCTCAATAATCGGATCTCCACCTGTCAACGCGCGGCGTAGGAAAGCCAACCTCGAGGCACGCCAATGGCTTACCAAGTGTGGCATTTCCATCCCCCCCCCCATGACACGGACGTTGTGCACAGACTCGTCTGTCGACCCGATTCCCGCGACCGCTCCACAAAGTGGAGGCTAGCGAGCGCTCGAGCGCCTTCCGATGGCTTTTGCAGAGAGGAGTACGGACAATCGATAAAGGACAAGAGGGAAAATGTATGTAGCACACACCTCCGCCCTGCCCTTCACGGACAACTTCCGTCGATGCCAAGTCCGACCGGCAGCATCGACCTTTGTTTGAATGCGGACAGGACCGTCCGTCCAACCGAAGCGGCCCGGAAGATCAACCCCCTTCCAGGCACCTAACCGCAAGCCGGACGACTTGTCGCTGTTGATCTGTAACCTTTTCGTACCGATCAAGCGCTTTCAGTACCGCCTCAATGTCGCTGCGGGACGATACAAAAGCAGATACGTCATCAGCGTACGCAGAAACCCTGGCTCGAGCTCCTCCAGGAACGGCGATTCCGCGTAGGGCCGGACTGCACGCCCCGTCCCTCAGCCGACGAAGGAGAGGCTCCAACGCCAAAGCATAAAGTAGGGGCGACAGTGGACAACCCTGACGGACCGACCTAGACAGCACAAAAGCGCCCGACAGCTTCCCGTTCACCTGTACCACAGCACTGGGGGAGCGATACAGGAGGCTAATCCAGCGGCAGAAGTCGGGTGCGAATCCGGCAGCCTTGCAGGACAGCCGCAAGGTAGCGATGGTCAACTCTATCAAATGCCTTGGACTGATCCAAATTGATCAGCGCGGTCTCATCGTCGTCTTTTACACCCTCTATGATCGTGCGGATCAGATGCAGGTTACTCTGAATTGTTCGGCCCCTCACAGCACAAGTCTGCTCAGGACCCAACAGAGACTCGGCAATTGACTGCAAACGCTCCTGCAGGATCTTGGCCAAAATCTTTAACTCTGTGTTTAGCAGAGTTATGGGCCTGTAATCGTCTAAGTTTCCCCCAACACCCTTGCCCTTTTTTCAACAGCGTCATCACACCCCTGCCAGAACCAGTTGTTGAACACGACAGTCAAAATCGGGACAAAGATGTGCGACAGCCTCAAGTACACTTCATAGGGCAAACCATCCAGACCGGGCGACTTGCCTCTGCCGACCTTCTTCAAAAAGCCGCCGCGTAAACCGAAGACCAGGCATGACTCTCTGCGCAAATCTTTATTCGAAAATCAGTAGCACACGTCGTCTATCAATCCTTTTCGGTAATCATAGTTTTCGATCAGGCAAATACTCAAGAGCGAGAACCGGATGTGAACGGGACAAAGCCCCGTCACAAAATGACCATTATCTTTCTTTACAAATGTTAAAATGTTTCCGACACACGTGTTCCGGTCGAAAAATAAAATAATATTTAAAGTGCTCTATTTTTCGTCCAATAAAAATGCTTCCCTCCTAATTATACTCGCTTCGTTTTTCGAGCCTGTTAAGCCATAAAAAAAAACGCTAAAAAGGGGTCACACGGAAGTTCAACAGGCAGTCAACAGGTGGCCAGGATAGAGACCTGTCACGTTCAGCAGCTGTCAGCAGCAGGAGAGCATCAACCACCGTCAACATGTGTGAACTACTATGAGAGATCGACCTAGATCCGAAAGCCGGCTTATGAACTTTACCACAAAGGTAGCTGTCCCAAACCCTCACGTTCCTGTTGAAATAAACCA